GAGCCCTGGTGGTGTAGTGGTTGCCCATGGGGCTGCTAACTTTAAGGTCAGCAGTTCGAAACCACCAGCCACTTCAGAAGAATCACAAGCCTTTTTAGTCCCATCCAGAGTTACAGTCTCAGAAACCCACATGGGCAGTTCTAGCCTGTCCTATAGGGTCACCAGGAGTCTGCCTGGACTCGATGGCAGTGAACTTTTGTCCCCCACCCCACCGCTTCAGGGACCTCCTCACTTTGTACCCCCATACACCCAAGAATTGCTCCTTCCTCAAATCTTAGAAGCCCTGGCCTAGGGCAGTGGTTCTCCACCTTCCTATTGCCAGGACCCTTTCATACAGTTCCTCATGTGGTGGTGACCCCCTCCCCAACCATAAAATCATTTTCGTTGCTACTTCATCACTGCAATTTTGCTACTTTTATGAATTGTCATGTAAATATCTGATCTGCAGCATGTACTTTCATGGCTACAAATTGAACATCATGAAAGCACAGTAATTAATCACAAAAACAATATGTCATTTTAGATGACAAATCAATGACGTGTCTTGAAGCATGGTGTAGCATGGGTAACAGTCTTAACGCCAGGTACTCGTAGGTGGGCATATCTGCATGTGGACAGACCGCCTGGAGACAGATAGAGGAGCGGTGTCTCAGTTCCTATGATCATCAGAAATACGTATTTTCCAATGGTCTTAGGTGACCCCTGTGAAAGGGTCGTTCAACCCCCAAAGGGTTCACAACCAACCGGTTAGAACTACTGGCCTAGGGTCTGCCAGTACCAAATCCACTCAGGACCTATTATGCCAGGTCCCAGCTAGCACATACAAAACTTTCTGCATGCCAGACCCTACTCTAAGAACTACCCTACCGCATAGATACTCCCTTTATCCCTACCTGACAGAGGAAGACAAGGAGGCATAGAGAGCTTCTTACAAACCTGTCCAAAAGTCGCACACAGTGTTCCAGTCTGGATAAACTGATGCTGATGTTGAGTCTCTTAGCTACACATTTAGGCCTATGAACTTCCCCCACCCTCCGTTCTCCACCCTCAGGAAGCTCAGATGCCTAACACCTCTCTCTTGATCTCTCTCTCAGCTCCAGGCCACATCAGACACCCACACATGCAATCATGCAAGTCCTGGACCCAGGACTCAAGCTCCCTGGCTCACAGTTCCCTATCAGGATCCCAGACCCGTCAGCCCCCTGCCACTCACCTTGCACAGTAAATGTGTCCCCAGCAACCAACCCTTCCAAGAGACCTGAGAACCCAGTCATCACCGCCCATCATCCTGAATTGATAACCCAAGAATAGCTTAAAATGGTTAACATGACGTCCCCTGATACCAAGATCTCAAGAGGAAAGACATTGTTTTGAAAATAATGAGGGCAACATAGGTACAAATGCACTTGATACAATTGATGCGTGGATTGTTATGAGAGCTGTCAGAGCCCCCAATACGATGATCTATTCAAAAACAAGCAAGCAAGCAAACATGAAGTCCCTGGCACTACATAGATCATAGAACTCTTAGGTTTAAAGCCCTCCAACGGTGTCCCACGACACTGAGATTAAAATCCAAACTCCTTTCCTGGCCTTCAAGGGGTCTCTGATTTCTCTTCCCTCTGGTTCCCCAAGCTCCTGCCACCCTGGCCTGCCTGTCCCCCACTCTCCAACAACCCCAACTTGTGCTCTGGGAGCCTTTCCCCTAGAGAACAAGTGTCCTCTTTCTCCTCCAAACACTCCAATGACTTGGTTTGGGGGGGTCTCAGTTCAAACTGAAAGTCACCTCCTCAGGGAAGCCTCCCAGGCACGCGCTCTTGGGAGGGGCCTTCTCCTCTCCATCACTACCTTCACCGCTCTCACTTCTTGTGCCCCACCTTTGTCACCATCAGAATGTGTCCTGCCACGAGCAGTTTTCAGTTTACGATCTGTCTCCCCTCGACCAGAACACAGACACACACACACACACACACACACACACCTCCATAAAGTGACCATCTGCTCTCTTAATTTCCAACTCCGGCCTCTCTGGAGCTAGCGGCTCAATAGAGGAAGGAAGACGTGGGGTAGATGTGGTTGTCGCGTTGCTAGGTGCTCTCACATCACATCGGCCTGACTCACGGCACAACAAAAGGAAACGCTGTCTGCGCTTTCTCCATCTCACAGACGTTGCTATGCCTGAGCTCGTGCTGTAGCCACTGTGTCAATCCATCTCTTTGAAAATCTTCCTTTTTTTTTTTTTTTGGTTGACGGAGTCTCCTTGATATAGTGAAAGTTTATTGTGCCAACCTGGCCGATAAACACATGTGGGGTTCATTGAAGAGTGGAGGGATAAATGGCTGAGTGAGCCTCGCCTTTCGAGTTCTCGGGTCTCTTGCTTTGTGATGGTCGGACCAGGGTGCAGCTGACTTGGCCAGTTCCCTGCTTCAGCTGGCAAGGCTCCCTTCCTGCAACACATCCCCAAAGAGAAGCTGCATGGACCTACCCTGATGCAGCCCTGGGTGCTGGACCAGCTGCGTGGAGACCCCTGCCAACACTGAGATGCTTACACGTTCACTGATTCAGCTTTCCTCCTCAGTTGGCATCATTGTGTGTGTTTTGTGAGATGGAGGAGGACTTAGTGGATTGGTGTCAGACCTTTGAGCTAATGTTCGACTTGTGGGCTTGGGCAGCACTGGGTTGGCATGTTTTGTTGATGTGCACTTACCCTTTATATAAAACTCTCTCTTATACATATGAGTTTCTGTGGATTTGTTTCTCTAAAGTACCCAGACTAACACTTCTTTAACCAAATGTGATGGCCTTCTTCTCCAGGAAGGGGTCCCCCCGATAATGCAAAGTAAAAACCCGAACCCCACTCCATGCTGTCGTTTGAGTTTCTTAGACTGTCACTCTTGACGGAATAGAGAACCTCATATTTCTCTCCAGGAGCGGTGGGTGGTTTTGAACTGACACTCATCTGTGTACAGGAAAGAGCTTTATAGACAAGAGCAATTGGACATTGAGAAAACAGCCCAGCCCAGTCCAGATCAAGTCCCTAAGTCCGACGTGAGCCCTTATGTCCGATACCAACCTATAAAGTCCTCTTCAGACTCAAGAAACACAGGCAATGACGCCAAATGCAGGAAGATCACGGGCCAGTACGTGGGAAGTCTTGTGGGTCCAGTGTCATTGTAAGCATCTCAGCGCTGGCAGGGGTCTCCATGTGGGTCCTTCAGCTCCGAAACTCTGACTGATTCAGGGTGGCTTCATGGGGCTTCTCCAGCTCCCGGGGCATGGGCTCTATCAGCGTAGCACCAAGTGTCTTGTCAGTAGAGCGTGTCCCTCAGGGAGTCAGCCAAGAGAGAATGTGATTCCCGCCTCCAGGGAGGAAATACAGAAGTTCCCAGAATCCTACGGAGAAGGCCAGGACCACACAGAGGCCTCATTGGCTGTATCCTGATTGACAGGCTAGACTCCAGTCATTCACTCCTAATTCTCAAATGGACACCAGATGATGGAACTACCATGAGGTGGCCACATATTGATTTCTCCCTCAGAGATTTGAAGTGCCAACCTTCCGGTTAGCTATGCCACCAGGGTGCCTTCCTAAGGAGAAAGCTTTCTGGCACAGTGTTCTACTCTGTAACCCCGGGGGGTCACCTTCAGTCCCAAGAAACCAAGTGGTTTTGTGTTTGACACCGGGTTCCCACACACACACACCCGCCCCCATCATGGCACCAATTCCACCAGCCCCCCCAGCCCACTCCGAGCCTCAAGCAGGTGTTCTCCATCCCTACAAGCCCCTGCATTGGGAGTACCCATCGCCAAACCCAAACTCACTACCTCCAGTCGATTTGTGGATAGAAATAAAACTAAATCACACACACACACACACACACACACACACACACACTGAGGTTCTGAGACTGTGTTTACTGGAGAAGCCTTGTCTTTCTCCAGAGGAGCTGCAGGTGGTTTTGAACTGCGGACCTAACCATGATGCCACCAGGGCCCCTCATCGTCCCCAAGCCCCCATCCAACAGCAGGGGCTAGAGATCTGAGCGTCCCCCCCTCCCCCTCCCACCAGCCTCACTCCAACATTTCCCAGGGGAAGGAGTCCATCCCACTCCCCTTGTACACCTTGTCTCTCTGAGGGCAGAGGGTGGGGGCCAGGAGAAGGAGGAACCTGAGAGTCTAGGCCCTCCCCCTGGCCGTAGACATCAGTTGGGTGGGGCCCCAGAGGGTATATAAAAGAGTTAGTATATTTTGAGACAGAGGGAGAAGGGGAGAGAGACAGCCAGCCAGGAGGAGGCCTGGGCGGTGGAGATAGAGCAGAGAGAGAGAGAGAGAGAGAGAGAGAGAGGATCGAGCTGCAGGGAGAAGGCCAGGAGAGCCCGAGGAGGGAGCCAGCCAGCGGGGAGGAGGGAGGCGGGCAGCGAGGAGGGCGGGGGCCTCCGGGGGGTGGAAGGAGGGCGGCGAAGGGCGGGGCACCAAGGCCCGAGCGAGGAACCAGACTTCAGCGCTGACTTTTTTCCGCCGCTCCGGGTGAGTTTGCAACCCGTTAGCTCTGCTGGGATTTCTTTTGGAGTTGGTGACAGTTTAGGGAAGGGCACCCCTCCAGCCGGGTGAGTGAGCGGGGTGGGGTGGGGGGTGGAGGGTAGTGATCCTTGGAATCTCAGAAGTGATCTCTGAACACTTGGGGCGTGGAGGTGGGGAAGGCAAAGGGGAGGGGCCTGGTAGGCTTTTGAGGGTCCCAGAAGAGCCCCTCACCAGTCATCTCCCTGTAGAGAGCCTCCTGGCTGTGGGTCGCCACTCTCCCGCCCTCCCCCAGGAGGGCTCTGCCTGAGAGCACCCCAAGTGCCCAGCAGCCTCTAGGCGCCCCTATCTCCCCATTTCTGGACAATGAGGAGTCCAGAGACACCGACCCCTTGTTGGATTTCCTGCTTGTCCCCCCACCAACCACCAAAGGCTGCCCTAGGCTCACTTTTCCCACAAGCACCCAGATGTCCAGCCCGCTCCACACTGGCAGCCAGGTCGGGTGGGGACCTCGTGGGCTCAGCCCCGGGCGGTGGTTTCCCTGGTGCGATGGAGTGGGCAGGGATGCCTTTGAGTCACCAGATGAGTCACAGGGTCTCCCTCCACCTCGTCCGGCCCCCTTCCCCTTCCCAGGAGGGAGATGAGTGAGGTTAGTCAAAGAGGCAGGTCCCTGGGGAGCCCCAAACTCCTGGAGGCTGTCAACTTGAGATTGTATAGTGTGCCCCCCACCTCCCGTGTGTGCACGAATGAGTCCCTAAAGAGAAGGGTCACATGCCTAGTCCAACACCACTTGAGACCCCAAGAGTCAATCCCCTTCCAGCAGCCCCAAGCCCTGGGGAATGGAGGGGTTCCACCCTTCAGGCTTCCCCTCTCTCAGACCTGGGAGTCCCTATCCCACTCCTTCCCCAGGCTCAGGGGTCCCCAGACCCAGCCCTCAGACCCAACAGGGGTCTGGGCTCTCAGCACCTTTCTTCCTCAGA